CGAGACCCGCCGCCATTCGATGAATTTCTACCGGTGCTACCTTGGCTTTCATTCCTGCACAAACCCGGGGGAGGTGCTACGCTGCTGAAGCTCGTAAAGCCGCCGCGGCCTCGCCTAGAGGCAGATGCTGGGACCTGCGGCCGCGGGGGTAGTTGGTGGACTTGTCGGCCTCCAGTAGCGGCTGGGCCCTGCGGCGGTTGCCGCGAAGCTGGTCCGGTAGGTGCCTGAGGAAGCTGTTGCGAAGATCTCTGTTGGCCCCCGGACGTGTTACCAGCGTCTGCGAACTGTAGGTTTGTCGAGAGATTGATTCGGCCAGCCGGCTGCTTAGGCTGGACACGACCGGTGAGAAAGACGGCATCATTATCAGAATCATCAGATTCAAACAATATATTATTTTGCGCCCGACCCATAAGCTCAGGGCGACGCAGGTCGTACCTAGATGAACTAGGTGCGGTTGGGATAGATTTGAACTCCGAGATGGGCCCCTGCTGGGATGACTTGTCAATGCATCGACCCATCGTCTCTAGTGACCAAGTAGGGGTCTTGAAAGAGCTAGGGCCGTCGTTCCTGGGACACTCCGAAATGTAATGCCCCTCTTCTCCGCATCGCGCGCAGAAGGCAAGCATGGAGTTGATCTTGTTCGGTAGGTTTCCATGGTTAAACGTCCGCCAGAGAGTGTCGCAGTGTGCATCGAGATGGCCGGTCGAGTTACAGAAAGCACATGTGAGGAGAGTAACCTCCTCCCAAACTCCGCCTTCGTCCTCGGTACACTCGTCCCTGGTATGTCCGAGTTCATTACATATCGTGCATCGCTTCTTGGTTGGGCAGAGGGATGATGTGTGTTGATCCTTATGCTCGCAATATTTACATAAGGATGCTTGGCATCCCATGGCCGTGTGTCCAGACTGCAGGCAGAGGACACACATGTCGGAGGCTGGGTTTTGGCCGGGAAAGTATCTCGCTTGCTGGATTAGCTCATCGTCACCGGTCGGGATGGGCATGGTAAACTCCGTATGAATAGAACCAGAGACAGGAACTCCTTTATCTTGAGCTTCCGACCTGGCGTTCTCTTGGAGCGTAATCGAACTCTTCCCCTCTTGAGCCCCTTCCTTGTCGGCCACGGTAGGTAGTCCGGAAACCTGTCGTTGATCTCCACTAGGCGTCCTAGCCTGGGATGTTATAGGACCCATGTTTCCGTCGGCTATGGTAGACGCAGGGCCGCTGGCCTTGTTGATGGTGTTGGGGGTTTCAGTAGAGTCCGAGACGTGAAGCACTGCTTTGGCAGCCTGCTTCGCAGGCTTCCTCTTCTTATTATTCAGGTTGGATACCCGGTCAATATAATAAGTATAGGCTTCAAGGGTAATTTGCTTTGACAGAGGAGTTTTCTCAGGGTTCAACGTTTTCAGGGAATTAGCCCAGTCCTTGAACCTAAATTTCCAAGTATCATGTCGCTTGCTATCATCAAGCTTCGGCAACCGTAAAGAAATTTTAGAATTCGGCAGCGTGTGGCATGGGACGTCCTGACTGGAGGGTTGATTTGTGGCAGGCGCGCTATCTTGTTCCTCTGTTGCTGGAGCAGAGAGTTCTGGGGCTGGAGCTGGGGAAAGGGAAGTAGTCGGCTTCGGAGTAAAGCCAAGCGAAATGCGCACTTGCCCTGAAGTGATGCCCCTGTTCCACCCCGAGGTCTGTGGAGCTGAAACGGACACAGTGGAGGAAGGCGAGCCCGACCTGGAGTTGTCCGCGGCTTCCGCGTCGGACTCTTCTGAATCATTGGGTTCTGCGTCTTCTAGCGATAGGCTTTGTTCCTCGACCGTACCGCCCTCGGGTTGCGACGACACCAGATTCGTCGCTGATGCCTCTTCAAGGCTGGCATGGCTTGCCATCGTGACGTCCTCGTCTTCGAGGATCTCGCCCTCCTCACTCCCGCTGTCGCTCTCCACCTCGGCGCCATCTTCCTGGGCGCCTTTATTGACAATACCATTCAGTTCCTTCATTTTTTCCCCCTCTTCTTCGAATTCGGTCGATCCCGGCGCCACGCCGTTTGTCAACCCTCCCGTCCGGGCACGCTTGAATCGGTTGTCTGCCGTGGTCTCTGCAGTCGAACTGCCATTCATGCCCTCATACTCTGACAAAGATCTCTTCTTTTGAGAATGAGTGCTGTTGGGTTGGGTAGGGCCATCGGTGGGGTCAATCTTTTCCTCGGTAAGGGTAACCGCAGGTAAGGTTTCAGTCGCCTCGTCCATAATAGGCAGAGTATGGAATCAAGCTTAGGGGTCAAGAAGCCTAATACCTTCTAGATTCAGATGGAGGGTTACCACACGGTCACCTCGTGCAGAATTTCCTGCTTCTGCTCCTCTGTGCGTAATGCTTGCAAGTGAAACAGGCTGTGAGCTTTCCTGTGGCGATTCAAGCCAAACAGCTCACCTCCAAATTCTAGTTTCCTTCGACAACTGCACTCTGGCTCATCTCTTCTCAGAGGTAGCAAATAATGCAGATTCAACTGTTCAACTCATAAAAATCGAAGCAACAGCAGGGATATTTGAAAGAGAAATAAGAATGAGATCCTTTCCATTACCTGCTCATTTGTAAAAGATGCTGGACAATATCTCGAAAGCTCTTTCAATGTTCCTTGGAAAGTTCGGTTGAAAGCTGCAACAATGAATTGTTAGCTTAGCTAATCCTAGACACAGCAATTGAAGATCTTGCGGAAAATTTTCACAGTCAATCAAATCCTGGGTCCCACTGTCCCAGCTCAGGGTCCAACGTGGCCCAAGCTGCTGGACGAGGACAGGGGCCAATCACGTGACTCGAGGTCATGTCCTGTTCCATGAGGAACCTGCTCTGTTTGGGATGGACCGGATGGGTCATTCAAGGGCCAATTAGATCTCTTGCGCACTGCACCCGCGTCGTTGACTTGTAGTTTACTTCGTCGCTCCGGGGCTGCCCATGAAATCTAGCCAGATGGGTTGACCGCAACACTTTCGATGGGATGGAAAACGTACTTTGTATCAATATTGATGGTACCTTAATATGGGAGCGTACATACGCCGCCGCGTCGCCGTCCCAGAAATCATCCTAAGGATCTAGTTTTCCTCGGCGAGGATCATTCGAGGATGCCTATTCCGGGAACACGTCTCCATATCTCCTACCCGATTCGGAAGTGGGAGGGAGGCAGGGTTTCTTGCGATGCTCTGAGACATCACAAAACGCTCCACCAACTGGGGTCGAGCTCAAGTTCTTATTACCTGCTTCCCTCCTTGCACTCCTTGTCGCTTAGACAGCACAGGGTTCTCATGAGGCCATTGCCGGCCGGTGCTTCCTAGTCTCCTGCCGGAACTGGATCCTAATTGTTGGGTTGTCTAGAGCTTACTATGCACGCGGAAGAGTCGAAAGATCTTGATGCGGCTCCGCTTTTCTTGTTCAAGTTTTTAGCAATGAACTTGACATTGAAGTATTCACACGATGAGTATGACGGGAGTCCCAAGAGTCCTCGATACGGTCCCAACCAAATCGTGAAGTACCCTTCTAGTTTTGCACTATTGCCGTGTCGTGTGAGCAGAGCGAGGACGATCCTCGGCACTCGCCAATGCATGTGCATAACGGGTATAAGAGCCCTCAAACTGATGTGCGATTGTTCGCATCTGATGGATCATGGGGGGCAGATCGACCGCTAAGGAGCAAGGCCCTTCAAATTATCCTCAATCCATCAAGCCGACCGATTCTTCCGTTTGCCTCAACAATCCCCGTGCAGTCTTGATTAAGTGAGGCAGTGCTCCCTATTATGGGGCCGCCATTAAAATTCGCTGCAATGAATCAATTTGATCGAAGGGGGTTGATTCTAGCGTCTGCTACAAGTATGGAGTACAACAGGAGGTACCCAGTGCTCCTCTGCTCCTGATGGCTTGAAGTACGGCACTCCTGGCTTCGTAATTAGCGGGCGACTGCCGGTACCTCCATTGTCTGTCCAGTCCATCCCCTCCACTGATCTTCAAGCCGGGCAACTCTCAGCCACATCGCAACAGGTATCAATAGCGGTCATTTACCCCTGTCGTTCGACGCTCTCGTGTCCACTTCTCCATCCGTTAATGTGACCATGTGTTACTTAAACATTAACTGGATGCTCCCATACTCCGTAATAATCTTACCTTTCTCGTGTCCTGTCCTGTTCTTCAACGTTCGGTCTTGCTTGCTTTCTTGGTTGCCTGCTTGATCGTCCCCTAGAGTTAAGGCTGCGAAACCCGCTGCCATTTCATATTCGCTCGTTCGACTCCTTTTTTCTCCATTTGCTGCGGTAGCTGGCTTCCTCTCGGCATTTCTAACCCCAACGTAATTGAGTTCACTCAATATCAATCTATCTCTCAAGACGCTACCTCGTCCAACAAATCACCACACTACACCTTACACCTAGACCTACACTACTCACGTACTCGGTACACTGGACCAGCTGGCAGGACCCTACTTCGCACCCTTTCCAGCAGAATATTCCAACTTTGATGGGTCCCCGATTTTCTGAACCAATCCGCGCGTCCACCTAATTGTTTCCTGCGTCATCTCGCCGTCCTCCAGACAGCCAACATTTCCACCTTTCGGGGTCTTCCTCCCACCAGTCCCCCTCACGAATTGCTTCGGTCTTCCAGCAGTCCGAAGCAGCGCCCAAACCCGAATTCCTTCGTAATCTCGGGCTCCCTCGACCCTCCCGATCACGGTCGCTTCCCCACGAGACCCCTCTTTTTTTCGGCTTAGCGCAAGCTTAGGGGTTCCCCCCTTCTAGCGACGGCGACAACTATCCGAATTGAGCCTCACCTCACTACCCCCCAACACGCTGAGGCGAAAACGAAACAACCTTCGAATTCCTTCGATCCCCCCTTCCCTTCCATTCCGCTCTTCCCCATCTCGATCGCACCAATACCGCCAAACTGTCTTCCCCAATTGTCCTCCAACGAACCGTCTCCTACGACGTTGGCACCAAACAGCCACGCGTAGGAAGTACGTACAGCGCGATGGCGGACCAAAAGTCGACTCGTCGGAGGAGATCTAGTAGCATCCTCCAGGTCTACCATGAGCCCCTCGAGACCCTAGAACAGATTAGCGACCAGGCCGCGCTTCCCAACCTGAACGCCGACTGGGTGAATGCCAAGGGTACGCTCTTTAAGCTGATGCGTCCCAGCTCGACATCCCCCCTCTCTCTCTCTCGGAGTGCGCCTCCCCCAGCAAACAGCAGGATAGCTAACAGTAAATTTTTTTCTTAACTAGGTGCCTGGACGATACACTTCGTTTTGATTGCTTGCTTCAAGATTTTTTATGACATCATACCCGGCGTCTCACAAGAAACGTCGTGGACGCTCACGAATATCACATATATGTTCGGGTCATATATCATGTTCCATTACGTGCGTGGAGTGCCCTTCGAGTTCAACGGCGGTGCTTTCGACAACCTCAACATGTGGGAGCAGATCGACAACGGTGCGCAGTACACACCCACCAAGAAGTTCCTTCTGGGAGTGCCCATCGCTCTCTTCCTCCTCAGCACCCACTATACTCATTACGACTTGGCGTACTTTATCATAAACTTCCTCGCCGTTCTGGCCGTCATCATTCCCAAGCTCCCCTTTGTATGTGTTTTCCCACCGATACTTTGCTCCTCCTCCCTGTTTTCTTCCCCCCCCCCCCCCTCCTCCTCCCTCTTTCCCCTCCTTTGTCGAGCCTTTGCGGATGTTCGTCTCAGGCCATCCTGTTTGCTAACCAGTATGCTATGAAACAGAGCCATCGGATGCGAGTGGGCTTCTTCTCTGGTCTTCCAGAAGAGTGAGGCATGAAGTACATCTCGAGTTTGTCGGAAAGGCGTTGGGGGAGGGGAAACTGTATCCTTTTTTTTTTTTTTCGGTCCTTCCGGTTCCTTTGTTCTTATTTCCCTTTTGCTAGACAGGCAGACCCCTCGGTACACCGGAGACGACACATGATTTGGAATTTCACACAAAAGGGCACAGGAAGGGGTTGGTAGAAGAAGACAAAGAAGAAGAAGAAGAAGAAGAAGCGGCATATGCATCTGTTCTCTCTCACACACACATGGTCATTCTATTTCATATCTCTGTTTTAATGCACTCCCTCTCTTTCTTTTCCCTTGATTCCGTTTTGGCTTAACTTCCCTCCACTCTCTTTAGGGTTCTGGAGTTCGGATACAGCTATTGAATGGTATATGGGAGATACCTCCTTCCCAATTTCCTCTGTACCCTCCGTCTTTGAAACAGCTCGGCTTGTGATAGGAGTGATATGAGTATTCGCCGGAAGCATGTGGTAGGTTAGGGCTTGAGGGACTTGGATCCATTCACCTGGCTTGGGATGGATCGATTTTTTAAGCCGGCGACGCACCATGGTCCCAAGTCTTGAGTACCAGTGACAGCTAGTGTCCTCAACAAACAAGACACAGGAATTTTTTGTGCCTAGATTCGAAACGCCCTTCGGAACCAAGCGTCTGATGCCTTTTTTACTGCTGACTGTCGAAGGACTTGACAGATTCGTGTCCTACTGGATAGTGGTGTCCTTGATCGCACAATGTCTCGCTCTATCCTCCATCCATACGCACCGTCGCCATCACGATGGCACGGCACCTAGGCCTACCACAGCAAGGATGTCTTGCGGCTACCGTCGTGGTATGTCTCGCCCTATTCATAGACGCTGTTCCAAGGCCGGTTTTTCACTGCCACGAGCAATTGCTTCTCGGGAGTCTTGCCGCCGCCTCGAACCGTCTGCGAGGAGATGTATCTAGCACCAGCAATACGCAGCAACCTACCGCTACGACTACAACTTATAGCCACTCCACTCTCATCACCATCAGCGGTTGCGGATACCACAACGGAACTTCCGCCTCCGTCGGGGGCCTAAATGGCGGCGCGGCATGTCTCGGCGGCGGAGACATCTTCGGATACTTGAATCCGGTCGGCTTTAGCAGCAACAGCGGAGCGGTCCATCGCATCGATTCTGGAGAGAAAATAACGCAGCATTTTCATTATACTCTCCAAAAGGCCTCCAACGGCGACCAGGTCAACAAAGGAACGGGGGGCAGAAAGCCCGAAAGATCTACCAGCCAGGGCGTAAAAATGGCCGGCCGCGACCACGCCGCAGGACAGCGTCGTCGAGAACAAAGCAAGTACACGCCACCGCCGGTAGACCGCATCGCCCACGTAATGGAAAGGTATACGTCATCGACAGCCTCATCTCCAGTGAATCCATTTGAAGGCCTCGGCAAATTGGCATTCATTTGTGCCGTTGTGTGCGCGTTTATCTTATTACCGGCTTCAGGAACGGCGGGGGTGATGCGTGGGGCCGCTGCCGGCATCGGTCAAGGTTCATCGCAAACCGAGGCTCAAGAAACCGTCAATGATCAGCCATCCCCGGGCTCAGACTGCCGGTTTTCATCAGGGCATTTAAAAACTAGATACCCCACTTAGAGTTCTATGAAATAGGACGAGCATCTTGTTTTGATCTTTCGAAACGGGGTGAGAACAACGGCAGCAGGCCAATTTGCAACCAGCCGGTGACGGACTAATAAAACGCGGGGTGTAAGACTGTGAAGGAAAGAGGGTCCGAATCGGGTAGATCGGACCCGGGTGCCCACCTTTTTACAACCTCGAGGCATTCGCTCCTACCCTTCCTGTTCGTCTGTTACTAATACGAAAGACACCTTGACGTACATGCGTGACTCAAGGCTGCAATTGTGAGATTAGAACTAGTCGCGATGTCGACATCGAGCTAGCTTCTGCGATGTAATCAACCCCGCGATAACATCGTCTATTCTACTTCAACAAGTAAAAACTCAACGGCACTGGATTAGGACTTTTACAATTTGAACTTCATCCAACTAGAAAATCGACATCTATTCGGAGCCATCATGAAGACCGGAGCCCCTGTTCTATACCCCAATGAGAAGGTCGCCGAGAGGGTGACGGAATACTCTCAAAACCATTCAACCCCACTTCCAAGTCATATCCCCGAATACCACGCTTGGGTAGACGGGAACCATGAGAGGTCGGGCTACTTGACTTCCAACTTTCAGTCTCAGCTCCATGTCCTGCTATCGCGCCTCATCGGTGCCAAGAGAGGTATGTCAAGTTCCAATGCATACGCAACTTAGAGTTTACCGGCAGTCCGGCCCTTACTGCTAGCCACCAAATTATATTAACAGATCGTTGGTAGTCCTCGAGGTCGGGGTTTACGTGGGATACTCTGCGCTCGTCTGGGCCCACGCCGTAGGACCCGAGGGCAAGGTCACCGGCCTCGAGTTTAGCGAGGAATACGCCAAGTTAGCAGAGAAAACTTTCGAAAAGAACGGTGTCAAGAATGTTGAGATCATAGTTGGCGACGGTCTGGAAACGTGTGTTTTATCTCACCCTTACTATCTCCGAAAGCAGTGTTGCTGACCCATGTTATGCAATACTGTATAGTCTTCCGCAGCTCAACCCGTCGGAACCATACGACCTAATCTTCATTGACGCCCAGAAGTCGGGATACCCAACCTACCTACAACAAATCCTCGAAAAGTCTCAGCCCGGGGCTGCGAATCGCCTCCTCAGGCCCGGTGGCCTAATCGTCGCTGATAATGTTCTTCGGCGCGGAATCATTGCCGATGACAGCTCGGATAACCCTTGGGTGGCGGAACAGGTCAGGCTTCGTTCAGAATACGCTGTGAACAACGACAACGAACTTATTAGGAAGTACAATGATGAGGTCGTTAAGAATCCTCGGCTGGAGGCCTTTTTGTTGCCCTTGTTTGATGGGGTTAGCATTGCACGGCTCGTGGATTGAGTCGGCTCGAGGAATCAGGTAGTCAGTGCAAGTACAGCCGGCATCGACGGGAATCCAGGGCCTTTCTTCGCCAGCTGAGTTTTAGCTGTAGCATTATTATATAACCGCCAAAGATGCTGCTTTATTCTACTCTTTTCCCCAAAGATTAGACAGTGTCCGTTCCTCGTCTATTCCGTCTCCAGAATCTGCGGGTCTGTAATTGCTTAAACCATGCATGTTGAGTGAAAGAGAAGGTAGCTCTCGTAGCTCTGTGAGCCAAAATACAGCCTCGGTGGCCGGATTTCGGGCGGTATGTAGGACGAGAACCTCGACGGCTGTGTGAGACGAAAAGTTGCCCCGACATCTGCGACGAGGAGGTGAAGAGGTTGCCTTAAGCTTCGCACTATCAAAAGGATATACTAGAGTTTATTCCTCTCACGACCCCTAGTTTCGGGATCTAAATATAGTGACCTTTATCTTCGGCCGGCTCTGGTCAGAGGTACCTCGAGCAACAGATGTATAATATTTAGGACTGCGTGGGAAGGTTTGGGTGTCTTTTTGGAATTTGGTGCTACGTTCGCTGTGATAATCGCGGTGCTGTTAATCCCAAGATCCAGCAGAGCTGCTCAGTTGGGTCGAAACCACCAGCCTGATCTGTGATTGGTCAATTGCACTAAGCTTCGTGGGCTAAACTCGGGCTGATCTACACAGGTATCCGCCGCCAGAACTTCGAGATCCATTCAAGGTATTATCCATCCAAAATTTACGACGAACAGATCTTCCCCCATGCTGGACACGACCATGAGCTCCACCTCGCGGCCGGACTCGAAGCGATGAACCTCCAGCAGCGTGCACATGGCAGCCAGATCCGCCATCGCGAACGGCTCCTTCGGCGCCTTTGCGCCGAGGACGATATTCATCAAGGCGTCACCGCCACCACTGACCTTCGCTGAGCGTCGAGCAGTCCTCCATGCGCTCAAGAGACACTGCCGGATAGACTTTTTCCGCAAGATTAGGGTTAGTTCTGAGCAACGTTGGGGAGGAGTGCAGAAAGACAAGGAATTCGGAAAACGAGAGAAGAAAAAGAATAAACGAAGCGGGGAATTTCTTCTCGGCTAACTTTTGTCGTCGAATTCTTAGAATAACCCATCTTCGTTCCTATCATTGGCAGAATCCGAAGATGCTGCTCGGACCCTAATCGCCCGTAGCCCGCTGAAATACCAACTCGAGATAGACGCCGAAGACCACTCTCCGCAAGAAGCGCCCGGGAACGACGACGGCCCTAGTAATGGGATGACATCCTCCTCCGCGCGACCGACAGCTCACGACCACCCCGCAGAAAGCTCAAAAGAGTTCACCATCCACATCTTCCCGCGCCACACGGGCAAGAAGCACAACGAACTCATCGAAGACTCGCCACTACATGGCCCGTGGCCCGGACGACCGGACGCAACCTCGTTCGTGGCTCGGTACCTCAGACGGGTGATTCCGGACGGGACGCTCAAGGACGGCCTTGCCGACTGGGAGACGGGGGGCCAGCTGCAAGAGGATGGCGATGCGCTGGGGAAAGCCGCGGATATGGGACCAAGGTTTTACGTTCAGAGGCGCCAGCGGCGACGAGAGTCGAAAATGGGGCTCAGTGGTGTGCTCGAGGATACTTAGTGGTAGTGCTGCACTACGATGCACTGGGGAACGATAGTGGGACCTGTTGAAATTAACCGTGATGGACCTTATTCCCGACCCGATGCAGCTCAAAAACTCTCAGGATATTAACCGCATGCAGAGGCCGCCAGAAATGATTTGAGATGACAAGTGTGACTAGGCTGAAACTAGTGTACTCATAAGAACGCCCATTTACACAACAGGAAATGTAAACAGTTGATATCCGCATTTGTATGCACGAAGTAATAAACTACTTGTATGTTGCATTGATGCTAGACCCACCGGGTTGACCTTGCGACAAGATCGTACATCGATCTATAGGACATCAAATCTATAAATCCATGTATGAATGGCCCGATGGACTGCATTGTAATCTTCAACGTTGACTGGCATCTTTTTTTTCCCCTCTCAAGGAGACGAGCAACATAACCGACACCGGCTGCTTGACGAAATACAAAATGTGTTCTGGTCCCAATTCCCGGATTGCATTGGTCAACTATGAGGCTGGATCTACGAGCTGGCTGATCACATGGTCTACGGAATAAGACTTCCAAAGAGGCCACAGGCATTAGTGTGAGTGCATCTTCCCTGCCCGCCGGTGACGCGAGGTGGTTTAAACCGAGCACACAAGGTTGCGATGTGGGAGCCAAAACAAACGAACCGATTGATGGTTACTGCCTGTGGAATGTTGGCGCTGGGCCTGGATATTGCCTCAGGACGAGCTACGAAGCACGAAGTAGAGTTAGACACACGGACTTTATGCTTAACATTAGTGCTCTGATTGACATATTTCGCTGTCATACAACCATCTGAGTCCACTCTCGGATCCGGGGATTCATCTCCCTGTGTTGTTTATTTGAACCTGGGAAGTACAAGCAGAATCGGGTGCTACTTGAGTGGCGATTCTTGGTACTTCGTGAGCTGGATCTAATCTTAGAGCACAGAGCTGGAGTTGCGAACTTCGTCCTTGGCAGCATGTGTCTAATGCTTCTTCAGACCATTGCCTTGTCGAACCCAGGAGATAAGCGTATGTAGGCCAGCTCGAGCAGCCGTCCGCCGACATCCACATAGACAAATGGCTCCATTCCAGTTTTGGGGATGAACGATGGTCTTGCTTTAATCCTACAAGTACGAAGTATTCTGATACGAATTATACCAAAGCCGTGATCAACAGAAGTTCGCTTAAACAAAATAATAAGGAAAAAAAATCAACTTGCATTTGCTGGACGGGATATGAGCGACGACGCTAAGGCCGAATTAGCTTGATGCCAAGACCCTTTCCTGGACCAGTTCAGCTCAGGTGTGTCGTGGGTTCAGGCCCTGGCTGCGGCCCAACTACGAAGGCAGAGGAAAAGCACGGGGTCCAGGTCGAGCAGCGGGGCAAGAAAAATGTCAATCCATCACTCGCTGGGCTCGTTCGATGCTCATTCGTCCAAGCAAGGTGAAAGGACCTGAAAACAGACAAGATTGCGCATAACTAGCGTGATAGCGCACGGTAAAGAACCCAGGGTGGCTGAAATCATGGCGTCGAGGTTGATGTCAAGTCGTGTCTGGACTGGTCACACAGGTCCTCTGGGTGCGCCGAGCCGGGGTGTTTCTACATACGAAGCATGATAGCATCCCGGCTTTTTTTTCCACGTCCACCCATGCTTGGCTCGGCTGAAGATCTGTGGTTCCTTCTGCCGAACAGCAACGCAACGTGGACAAGGTCATGACTTTTGCCTATCCCCGACCATCCTTGCTCTGTCCTGGCGCTGCGTACGAAGTACCCGTCTGCGCACTTCGATTCCCTCTCGTTCTTGTAGTACGGCCGCGGTAACTTAGACGTGGCGATGTGAATCCAGCCTATGCTTGTAAGTGGATGCGGTATGCTGCGGGCATGAGCTCTGCGGGGTGCAAGAGGCCGCTCATCCTAGCTGGTCTATCGTCACTCCGCAGCTAGAGAGAGCTTCCCATGTTTTCCCGAATGCCCACCGCCGTCCGTTGCTTCGGAGTGGACGACGCTATGTTTGCACATTACTTGGTATATGGCCGAGGAGCAGGGTGTACTAGGGGTACTCGACTTGGTCTCGCACAGCCCTTTCCTATTCACAGCTTAGTGTAATACTTCGTACGTGATGTCAAGGTGTTGTCCAGTGGAGTGGAACGCAGGCCAAACCCAGCCCAGGGATATTTTGAGAAAACTAATGTAGTCTTGGTTGCTGTCCCACCCTGTCCTTGCCTTGCGTCCCGCGTTCTTGTATATATCCAGTCACAGCTGCCCACTGGTAGCTAATTTGAGAACCTTTATCCTTTCTGTTGTTCCTTTGTTTGTCCACCCTTCTCTCACTCATTCCCTCCTCCATATCCTTTCCTCTCCTGCCCAAGTCACCTGCAGTGTGTCTAGGAGCTCCCCCACAACCTGGAGCAAGAACATAACAGGACCCAGTTTGAGCATTGTTCTATTTCAAGAGCAACACACTTCTTACTACCGCAACAATGAAGGCCAACTTCTGCCATATGATTGGCTCCTTCCTGCTACTCGTAGCAACAATCCTTCTCATTGTCACCAGTATCACGGCTCCTGTTGTCAATCGCCTCGCCATCCTCACTGTCGACTTGGCCGAGGACTCCAATGCGGGCAAGGAGGTCGCCTTCGGCACCTTTGGTTGGTGTGTTCAGGATGCTGGCCCTGAGTAAGTATTCCGCTTTTCCTTTATGCACATTGAATATACTCAGCAAGACGGGGTCAGAAGTGCCTGCTAACTAATTTATCTTAGCGGCGAGGATGATTGCTCCAAGGCCAAGGTAGGATACAACCCGGCCCAAGTCATGGAGGAGATCGACGGCACCGACATGGCCAGCTACTCCGAGTCCACGACCAAGGCTCTTACCCGAGCCTTGGTACTCCACCCGGTCGCCACCGTCCTTTCGTTCATCGCCTTCATCCTCACCCTCGGAGCCAGCGCCTTCGGCTCGTTCATCGCCTCGATCGTCGCCTTCACCGCGTTCATCATTACGGCTATCGTCATGTTATGCGACTTCGTCCTGTTCGGCATTCTCAAGGCCGACATCAACGAGAACGAAGATAGCGAGAGCCATGCCTACTTCAGCGTCGGTATGTGGTGCGTCCTTGTCTCTGCCCTCTGCAGTTTGGTCGCCTCGATCCTCGTTCTCGCCACCTGCTGCGCTGGCCGCTTCAAGAAGCGCCGCGATGTCGAGAAGAGCAGCCCCGCTGTCGCCGGCCCCGCTGCCAAGCGCCGATTCTGGCCCGCCCGCAAATAGGCGATCGATACGTTTTCGAACTTTGAGCTATTGTCCCCAGCCGAATCCCGGTCAATGTGCAACGACATATCCAGAAACGAACAAAAAAAAATACTGAGCATCACGAGGCAAATGAGTTTACGTTTTCCCAGAATGCGGCGGAGAAGGAGGGGAGGAGGTGTTGAGTTGAGCGTGGTGTTTGGATCGAGTTTTAAGGTGGTCTGAGTTCCTGCTTTGAGCAAAATGATACCATAGTGGAGATGTCCTCTGATCTTCTACAAGAGTCGGATGGTCTCTCCAGAGTTCATACCCCTAATATAGTCACATAATCAAGTCAATCGCGTTTTGAACAGTCGTCGACGGTGATGGTGATGGTTATGGTGACGTGCATGGTTGATGTTGGATTTCCTTGTGAGGCCAAGGCTGGGTGCGGCTGGCTCCATCGCTCCGCGGATTGTTTACTCAACAGATCTGGCTGGATCTTCTGGATGTTTTCTTGGGTATCATTTGGTATTATGTGATCGACTACGACGTAGGCCTGACCCCCCTCCACATCGCCTCGCCTCACCACACAGTCGATCAGCTCAGCTATGTACAAGGATAATAGGCAGCAGAATGGCCCGTGAGCAAAGGCATCATGGCACCTTCAAGAATGATCTACTGGTCGGATGCTGAGGTGAGAATTAAGATTTCGTGAATGCCCCCACGAGTCGTGAAGCGTTTCTGGCATGCTGCGGTTGCTTCTCGAGTGTGCACTACACTACGAAGTAGCAATTGCTGAATGATTGATCAATGATATTAGAATGGGGTCGCATGGAGTGGTCGGCCAAATTAAGGCAAAGAACCTTAAACTTGATGGCGAAATCTAATTTCTCCACACCAAAGACCAGCCCGATCAGGCCCATCGTAATAACAGGTAACATTGAACCCCATCGATCCCTTCTTCTTCGGCTGAAAATAGGGGAGCCGGTAGCCTGGAACTCGTTCGTGCCAAGCCGTAATTTGGCAGGTGGGCATCACTGGTGTCATGTAAGAAGGGCGAAGTATTGGGCATTTAGTAATACAATACAGGGAATAGAAGGTGCGCTCGACGATGGGTTTTTGGCATCATTGATCAAAGTCCTTTAGCATGAGCACTGCCAGCCCACGGCAAAGTAAGTTTAGGAAGGCGCTGTGGCAGGCAGGCTGAAAGGTGGATCTCTTCGCTCAGCTTCACGGCTGTGGCTGGAGCCTTGAATCTCAAGCTTGGTTACATCACACAGACCCCCAGAGAACCCACCAACTCTCTTGAGGCAGGCAGAGATACCTCGGTACTTGAATGGGAAAATCAGCACCTCGGCGTGTCCGTCCGAACGCCTCTCAGAGCTGAGCTGCGTCGTCATTCGTCACGATCGTCACTACTCCCATTGCAGATCTCACTGCGAGGTGATGACACCAATACATCAATTGATCAATGCCAATCAGCGGACCAGAGCGAACACTATGCGCCGGCTCTGCATATAGGATGCACTACCCCCGCCTTTTCTGCCCTCCTCCTCACGCACCTGTTGGCATCCCCCCTCTTGATGAGTGGAGGAGATGGATAGGCCGCAGGGAATCTCCCAAGAGTGTTCCTGTGTTTCTACTGCATCCCCCCTCGCGGAGGCCGGCGAATATTTTCTGGGAAGATTTTCGCGGTCGAGCCTCGGCGACTGTGCTCTTTTACCAGAGCTAATATTAAATTGTGCCAAGCGTAGATCGATGCCAAGTAATTAGGCAATGTGTCGATGAGGTCAGAGGTTCTTGTGCCCGGCAGAGTTTGTTCAGGAAGATTCAAGTTGCCTCTCACGGGTGTGAGCCGAAGGTCAACGAAGGATCAAATCACTTGCAGACATGCCGCATCGTGCATCAAACAAGTCGCCCAGGCTTCACGAGCAGAGACGAAGAAGTAGTGGCCACTTGATTTATCTTATGTACCGCATCCCCAAGATTCGCCTCACAATATAAACTACCAAGTACACGTGCGAGGTCTCTGGCCTCGGTCCTGGGAGATGCTGCTGTAAAACTTGGTCACGTCTGGAGTTGTGGAGTGCTTTCACTGGTGAGGTTTTAGGAAATTTGCGAGACATACAGCGCTGAGGGTGCCCACTGATGACGAATAACGTGAGAGATATGAAGCAAATTCCTGGGGGTTTCGCCCGGCACCGATGTTCCTGTACAAAAAAAGGCTTTCCTTTCTACAAAGTAGGAAGATCATGTTCATGAGGTCGACCCATGGACCGCTGGAGGGATGAACACAAAGCCCTATAGCGGCGGGTCCAGAAATCAAAAAGATGGACTCGGCGGTCTTGGTAGTGCAAGGCCAAGAAGTTTGGCCCAGAGCCCGCGACGTCTGGTTGGGGCAAAAGGATAATCGGCACGAAAGCGTTACGTCGCCCTTCTTGCATCAATCGGAGAAAAAGAGAGATTCGTTGTCTTTCCACCCATTGGGGCCGAACGCCGATCGGCAGGCTCTTGGGACTGAGTTTTGGGAATTCGCCAAGATCAACAAATCGGTTCCAAGAACATCAAAGGAACGATCGCAATCGTGTCCGAAAGAGTTTGGAAGCGCCAACTTTCTTTGCCAGGGGGAAATCTATCTTTGAGTTCCATTGACCGGGGGCTTAGACTGCGTTACGCGCGCCTGTTGCTGGCAAGGCGGTTCGTTTCGCTCCGAATTGGAGAAGTCTCGACCAGACGATTGGATCTTACAAGTTTACGACGTCTGCATCGGACTATTCCTCCTCCGTAGTGGGCTTCTGGGCGGCGGCGCAAGCAACTGGGAGCCACCCACAGCTCGCCCGCTTTCCCATTTCCCAACAAGAAGCATGCCAGTCAATGCCATCGTGGAGAAAGTTCGTTACAGAACAAGAGTGGCCCTACTGCTGGCCACCACCTTTTGTACCACTACATTGCGTGTTTGTGGGAGAAAAGCGACCCAAGAGTCGCCAATTCCGTCTGGGCCTTGTCAGGGTACGAAGAGTTTCGGCCAGAACCTGACTGGAAAGTATGTACAATCGTACGAAGTAATCGAGGCCGATGACCTTCTGTAAATGGGTCCGGCGGTCTTGGTCAATCAATCCAAGTATGGCTTACCCATCCGAATCCCGTCTTTGCATCCATGCAAGCTCATCTTGGCCTGGCGCGGCACCATTGTGTTGAGATAATTACCAGGGAGGTCCCAACACGGTCATTTCCTGACATTCTTTCATTTATAATTCTTGCGCTGCCTGCTCTTCGATCTTAATTTCGTCGACGCGATTTCAAGACCCGTTTCCCTTTCTTTGGCCTGCTCTCTAATACCCTATGCCTATCTGACATTGATCTACAAGTATCTACCTACGAAGTACTCGGTAGATTCTACTACCTCATTGCCTTACGTACATTACGTCCATCGATGACTTCCATCAGGTGCTGTGATACATCTGCGCCCGGTTATTACGACTCCGCGGTACATCAACTTCAAGACCAAACTCAATTTCTTTATCTTCAATTCATTGAACCATCCACCACTGGAGTGACCGAACGTGGCCTGGCCTGGCCAGGAACTTATTGACCTATTCAGTTACCCGTAACCAACCCGTCCGCCCCTGACATCATCTACAAGTCTACATTGTACAAGCGACTCGGTGAAGGCGAATATCCCAACAGGAACATCGGGCCTTGTGATCTACTCGTCTGCGCTTGGCATCCGATCATTTATATATCCGCTTCCTATCTCCGCCATTTACTTTCCGTCTGCGTATTTCTCACGGATTCCTCTCCGTCGCCTCCGGCCTTCTTTTCTTTGTTGCCTTCAACACACAAAGACACTCTTCGAGAACGAACAGCCTCATTGATCCGCCTTACACGTTGCGCCTCATCACTCTCCGCCGAACAACAAATATAAACCCTGTTTCGAACACTAGGATCTTCACTCGCCACCTCCACTACCAAAGTGTGGGTATTGCTCCACGGCGTTATTGTATACTAGCCAGCGACCGCCCGTCGCGGCTCCACGCATTCCACGCATCACCCTATCCACACACCCAAACGAACGGCCGGTTTCCCCTCAACCTTCCACCATGTCCTCCGCCGCCCCTCTAAGTCCTACGAGCACCACAAGCTCCGTCAAGCTCCGTCGCGACACCGGGTTTCCTGAGCCCTTTTGCGGTAGTGAGTTTTCCCCCGCCGCGTTGCCCCACCTCTCTTGTCTAGCATGGACTTTATGCACCATGCTTTTTCTTCTGACTTAGACAATTTAAACACAACGCCCTGAGAACCAACTAACATGCCCCATCCACAGGCCGAAATACAACTTTGCCACACCCCGAAGCGAATCTGTCACCGGACGCCACTCTAGAAGCCTCCGATATCGATCCCTCTCGAGCACTCACCCGGACAAGGCGGTCTTTCCTAGCCAAGAAGAGCAAGTACCGACATACACTTTCCCACGGGAAGATCGCTCCGACAACATCTACCGATTCTGGCCTTTCGCACGACTCCGACCCCGATGCCGGCGGCAGCTCCCACTACCTTGAGGAGATACATGTCGTCATGCTACCAGACGGAAGAATATCCAAAGACGGCGAATTCAGTCGCGAGTCAATAGAGTCAGCCATGGACGGCACCGAGTCGCAAAAGAAGAAGAAACCCTTCTTAAAGAGAGTCTTCGGCCAATAAGCGATGTCGTCTTATTGAATCGGACCCTTTCGTATGATTCCTTTTGCTGTTTGATATTCTTTTTTTCCCCTTCGGGTTCTCTTTGTACGTTCTTTAGAAGGAAAGTCCCACTGGACACTTGGGCATGGATGGACACAGATATGATGACTTTATGACGGCCAGCGACATTCTTTTTTATCTTCTTTTGATTACCTGTGGGAAATTGTAACCTTCCTTAGCGAGGCGTTTGGGCTGGGTTTTAAAAATTTGGGATTCTACGATGAGCGTTATATATATTGGCCGGAACAGGACTGTCACTCTTTGGAGGAAAAGGCAGCCCCGCCAAAACATCTACATGGGACATGGGACGAGAATGGGATAAACTGGGATTCAGCATGCGCATCCCTTGCAAGGGAACATCTCCTATGTATCACGACTTGGAAGAATCGCTTACAGCTACATGAGCTCGAAACGTCGGGCCCTATGTTTATCTTTTATAATTTCCTTCTCGAGAGGTACAATTCGTGCCGTGGAGAATATACATCAATTTCGTTCCAAGCATCATGAGTCTATCGCAACATGTGCCGCTATGAATTGCTCCCCAAAATGCAAATAAACCGCTTAGGTATCTTAACTTCCCATCGTCAAACTTCTTCTCCCGAGTACATCATATCCAGCTAAAGCTCCCTCTAGCTCCCCCGATACGTCGTATACGAATACGGCGAGAGCAGCAAAGGCACATGATGATGTCCCTCACCCCTCAACGTAAACGACACGGAAACCTCCGGGAAGAAAGTCTTATCCTCGCCGAAATACGCCGCCGTATCAAACCTCAGGGTCCACGTCGACGAGGGGGAAGACTGCAGCTCGCCGAGGACGTCGTCGAGGGTGTAGACGGGGACTTCGCCCGAGGCGTGGGCGCCGGAGTAGGGGAGCCAGACTTTGATGCGGCCGTCGTCGTCGGTGAGGGATTCGAAGGTCTTGAGGGGCGCTGCGCCGCCTTCGAGCCGGACGCGGATCCCGCGGGCGGGGCGGCCGGTTTGCGTGTCGAGGACGTGGCAGGTGATGCGGTCGGTGGCTTTGGTGGACATTGTGATTTTTTTTGGGGGGGGTTTGGATTTTTCTTTCTTTTGGCTGAGTTGATCGTCTCTGATGGTAGATTTGCTTCTAAAAAATGACGGTGGAGGAGAGAGTGCGAGTTGGTGTTGTCCGAATTAAGGATTGGGGATTCGGGCAAGGCGTGGTGGGGTTTGGCGTTGTTTGGCGATGGTGGGGTCGTAGTGAATGGAGCTAGACTAGGAGATTGATGGAAGGGGAGAACAAACGCGCTTGCGCCTGAGGCGAATTTATACTCTTAACTAATTCATAAGAGAACAAGACGAGGGGACGAGCAGTTAGGACCAGTTAGCAGAAACCCGTCCCGCCCCCTCTTAATGAAGTAGGCAGTGCAACTTCTCAGGCACCATCGGATTCGTTTACTATTAATGCACCCATTTCGGAAGTGGGCTGGACTTATGAGGAGCCGCTCATCTGATGTAGGATCTATCCAGGTTTGGACGTTGTAATAACAATAATTACCTATATTTAGAAGGAAAAAAGAACTACTAGGCCCATTCATGCGACTAAAGACCAATATCGTAAGCACGATGTTCCACGAGGTTCTTATGGATTGAACCCAGAGTCAGGCAGAGCTCTTGGTGTAAGTTCTGGATGTCAATGGCGATAGAGGTGAACCACATCTGAACTTGACTGAGGGAGGGGTTCCACCAAGGTAGGACTTGGCCCGCCAAGGAATACACTGCCTAGTTGCTCCCGGATTCCAGACCCGTATGATACCAAAATTGGCACATCTCGCAAGAATATCGAAATGCGAATGGCCAGGCGGAACCGTAGGACTCGCGATTTGGGATGTCCTGGATTCCTTGGGGAGGCAGTACGAGGTACAAGGGTACTCAGATACTTCATCCAGGCATGCAGAATCGGGTAAATCACGGCAGATCCTCAGATTAAGGGTGACGTTTGTCCCTTCTCAGCAGGAACATGGTGGGGCATTCTGGTACCTTCCAGGGGACGAGCTCCCAAGCAACGCATTGAGCCTTGGGCAGAACGCATTTTGCAATCACCATTACGTGTAGGCGGTATCGAATAAGCCCTCGAGTCGAAATCAAGGCTTCCGTCCAAGCGAGCCTGGTCTTGCATACCCAAGTTAACACCTCTGCGTCCTCGAAGCCGCGCCTTCACGACCCTCAACTTCTACTCCGTCCACCGCCCTTCACCCCAAACCCTACCCCTCCAAAACATTAAAAAGGTTCCATCGAAAAAATGTCCACCGCCGTAATCGACGTCGACGACGTGATGGAGCCCTCCCTCCAATCCATCCTCGACCAAAAATCCCTCCGGTGGATCTTCGTCGGCGGCAAAGGCGGCGTCGGAAAGACCACGACCTCCTCCTCGCTCGCCATCCAGCTCGCCAAAGTCCGCCGCTCCGTCCTCCTCATCTCTACCGATCCCGCGCACAACCTGTCCGACGCCTTTGGCCAGAAGTTCGGCAAGGAGGCGCGGCCTATCAATGGCTTCGAGAACCTGAGCGCCATGGAGATCGACCCTAACGGGAGCATGCAGGATCTTCTTGCGGGTCAGCTTGATGAGGGGGATGATGCTATGGGTGGGCTTGGAGGTGTTGTGCAAGATATGGCTGCGGCGGTGAGAATATACCCTTTCCTCCAGCTTCTCAGTATAAGCTACACCCCTGTCCGGGAATTTAATGGCTAACGCTTGATTTTTCTACTTAGATCCCCGGTATCGACGAAGCCATGTCCTTCGCGGAAGTTATCAAACAAGTCAAGAGCCTCCACTACGACGTAATCGTCTTCGACACCGCACCCACAGGCCACACACTCCGCTTCCTCCAATTCCCCACCGTGCTAGAAAAAGCCCTCGCAAAAGTCACCCAGCTCTCCTCGCAATTCGGGCCCCTTCTAAATGGCATCCTCGGCCCCGGCGGCCAACTCCCCAACGGCCAGAATCTCAACGACACCATCGAGAAGCTTGAGGGCCTCCGCGCCACCATCAGCGAGGTGAACAACCAGTTCAAGGACGTCGCACTCACCACTTTCGTGTGCGTGTGCATTCCCGAGTTCCTCTCGCTGTACGAGACGGAGCGCATGATTCAGGAGCTGGGGAACTATGGGATTGACACCCACTCCATCGTCGTGAACCAGCTGCTCTTCCCCAGGAAGGGAAGCAATTGTGAGCAGTGTAATGCTAGGAGGAAGATGCAGAAGAAGTATCTTGAGCAGATTGAGGAGTTGTATGAGGATTTCAATGTTGTGAAGATGCCATTACTTGTGGAGGAGGTTCGTGGTAAGGAGAAGTTGGAGAAGTTTAGTGAGATGCTAGTACACCCTTATGTTCCCCCGGATCTAGATGAGTAGGAGCAGGATATCGCGGAATACGAGTAGATTATAGACACACGAATGAGAAAAAAATAGTAATGACGAAATGTGATGCGTCGTCAGCTCGCGCCTGTCCCACCCGGTGTGATCATATCTTCAGCTCTCTGAGGTCGGTTCGAGACCAGCTTGGTTTGTCGCCCTGTCGATTCAATTTACACATGAAGTTTATCACAAGTTGCACATCTCAGCACAAATCTCAGTGTCACATAAGATTGCAAGTAAAAGCATCAGTTTATCGAGTTAAACGCACTCAATTCGTTTCTATAAAAAAGGGGCCTCATGCCCTCTGTCCCTGGCATCTATGAAACAAACATAACCTTTTTCCATCCAGGTTATATACAACACAAAACGCTAACCGCCAACTCAGCCAGGACGCCACCTGGGAGTGTGTTTCTTCTCTCAAAACGCCAATAAACACCCCCTTCGATCCCCTTTGAAGGGTTACGTGAATGCAAATGACCAAACCAAACGAAACAACTAATAAAACCGTTGACCACCAAACATTCTGGTGTTCATCATGTACCGTTTATGAACGTAGTGGCAAACAAGATTCGTCCCTTGGGAGAGGCGATTTGCCGTGATGTAGTAGTGAAGGCCGAAAATAATGAAGTCGTGAAAAGGTTTCTTCGTGTGATGATGGATGCAGAAAACGCCAGGTCGTTCGGTAGTGTACAAATAGAGAATGATTGATAACCGAGTTGCCAAGCTTCAATACAGTAGTCCTTCCGTCAAGGACTTGGTAAAGAGTATGAAGAATGTCGACTATAGTTCCCGGTAATCGCTAGGGCGGACTCGCTTTTGTCGGTTATGGTGACGGTGGGGGTTCACGGGCTTCCTGAAGTAGGCATCCTCTTCAGAGCCGCCGCCCATCTGGTTGTTGAAGTGATTGCCGGGACCTTGGTTATAGCCTTGGTTGTGGAAATTTCTGTTGCGTTGGTAGCCGTTCATGCCACCGCCATTCATTCCCTGGCCCATCATACCTCCTCCGTTCATGTGGCTGCCGTTCATACCGCCATTCATGGCGGGGTTCATGGGAGGGTTCATGCCTCCTCCCATCATATTACCATTCATTCCAGGCATCATTCCATGAAACATGTTGTTATCCATGGGAGGAAAGCCTCCTCCCATGGGCATACCCATCATACCAGGGTTCATCATGGGCATCCCCATTGGCATCCCCATGTTAGGCATTCCGCCCATTCCCATCATGTTCATGGGGGAAAAGGGCATCATAGGCATATTGGGCATATTAGGCATATTAGGCATTCCCATCATGCCGTTCATAGCATTAGGTCCATTCATAAATTGCGGCATGCCCGCGGTGTTTTGCTGTTCTTTCTCCATCTTTTGTTGCATAGCCTTGGGGGCCTTGGGGATCTTGGGATTTTCAAGGAGCTCATCCGCTGGTCGCTTCTTTGAGGTGGTACTCGACTGGGTTGTATCCGGAGTGGTTGTTCCGGCATCAGTAACCGCCGTCTCCTGGCTCTTACCGGTTCCATCAGATTGTGTCGCTTGGTCGCTAGCAGCGGTGGATTGGGGACTTGAGACTTTCACAGCTGCATCCGTCTTCTGCGTACCACTTTCGGCTCCGTCCACCTGAGGTCCGGGAGATTTGGACTTTGTTGTGGAATCGGCGGCAGGGCTCTTGGGGGCGGGGCTTGGACTCTTGGATACCTCCTTGTCCTTCTCCTGCAAGTACTCCTTTATCTTTTCAGTCATTTCATCATCGGGCTTGAGGTCGTCAATGAGGACGCCTTCGGCCTTGCAAGCAGGGCAGACGAAGTCGCTTTCGATGAGAGCATTGGTTATGCAATCATTGCAGTACGTCTTCCCACAGCACGGCGTCTTCATTGGCTCTATGAACATTTTCTTGTCCACTGGACATTCCAGACCCTTCTCACGAAGTTCCTTATCCGCAGCAGTCTCTCCCTTGGCAGTGGCCGAAGACTTGGCCTTGGCCTGGTATTTTTCCCACGATGCCTTATCGGGTCTAGCAATGACGAAATCCCCGTCCGCATTCACCATGATACCAGCTGGTCGCTTCGCCTCATCATCTCCACCAGACTGTGCTAGAGCTACGCTCTTGTCCACCGTTGTCAGGAATGATCGGGGAATACCCGTCGTCCGCTTTACACGGCGTCGGTTGTCATAGTCGGGATCATCATTGGTAGGGCACATCTGAATCCAATGTCCCTTTTCTCCACAGCGATAGCAAATGTATCCGTTCGGAGGATCATGATCAGGGACATTCGCAGGGCGATGGGTTCCGGGTTTGTTGAAAAAGACAGGTTTCTCACTAAAGCAGTAAAGATGGTTAGCATGCTGCACGAATAACAATAATCATACTTGCAAAACAAGGGAGGAGAAGGGGAAGGGGTGAAACATACTGAGCTAAATCTTCTCGCTCTGCGGACCACGCGCCCGAGAGGACTTGGAACATTGCTTGCATCTTCTCCTGCTCGGTTGATGCCTCCTGGATCGTCGTCGAGGCAGCCTTATCCGCCTTGTCCTTTGCGGCTTGGTCCTTCTTGAAAGAAGACTTGGCATGACCTGGCATTTTACCGGTGACATATCGGGCGGCCTTCCCCGCGCCAGGCTTGATGGCTGGAAGGCGCCGAGCGGTTACGACTGTCGCTCGTGGAATGATCGTTGTGTCGTCATCGTATTCTAAGATAGGTTAGCATATAGCTCAAAACATGAATGCTCACTAGGGTAGGTTACTTGCCTTCTTTGCCATCCTCACTATAGATCGCAAGGTCGAAGTCCGTTCCATCGCCAAGACCGCTCTTGATAATGATATCTCGCTTTAATTCGAAGACCGAGATGCCTGTGCCGTCGAACTCAACTCGAGTGGGCTCCTTCTGAGACTTGAACTTGAAAAAGACCGAAGAGGGCATTGTGATGTCGGTAGAGGTCTGACGCTGTATGTCGATTTACTTCAAACTGTTCTTGGTGCTTGTCACGAAAAATCAAAAAAGCGATTCCTCCCAAAGGTTTTCTCTTCTGCCACTCTTCGGCCTAGTCGCGCCGGGCAGAGTCAGAATGCACTTCCGTGGCTTGTCCTCGACTGGCAATATGTCAGAAGCGGACGCAGGAATCAACTAGAACAGGTATTTTGAATTTGTGAAGAAGGAAAAAAAAAAAGAAAAAAGAGAAAAGGAGAAAGTATTGTATCTCGATGACAACGACCCTTTGCAATCTCTGCAACAGTAACAAGAAATAGAAAAATTTCAATTCTGATTGAATGTTGAGGGATGTCCGGAGTCAATAAAGGGAAAATTGGGATTTTTTTTTCTTTGAATGGGATTAATACAAAGCCAGAAGGGGCAACCGCCACACGTCTGGATAAGATGGATGCCCTTTGATCACTTGTTTCTTGCTTGGGTATCGCTGCGTGCTCTTCCTCTTCAGTGTTCTCCTCTTTGCCTCGAGTTAGAACCTCGTCCACAACCCAGCTCTAAAAGGCTCCTTGGTGCAGAACGTCTTCCTCCACCCTGCCGATGTTCTGGGGATAGCAGAACCAACACGAAATGGTCGGGCGCGTTGTTTTCGTTGATACCTAGATGATGAGTGATTAGGGTCGCCAACAATGGAACGTCCAACTGTCACAGTGGTCGGGGGTGGCTGGCGTTTCGACGATACAAGTTTGGCCGCGTCGATGACCCAAATGAAGGGTAAAAAAAGGCCAAAAGTTGACCAGGACCGATAAATCAACTAAATCTCGATGAATACAGTCGTCATCTAATGGAATCCGCGTCACGGGAGATTGGGGAGTGATGAAGGGGCGAGATTCGCAAGTGCGGAACCGTGGTGAAAAGGGAGAGAAGGTGGAGTAAGAATCTGGCGCGACGACAAATGCCTGTGTCCTTTTTCACTTCGCTTCTGTCCCTTTCTCGACTCCTTGCTGACACATCAATGGAATGAAGATCCACGTGACAGTATACTTAAATACGTCATCAAAAATCATTCTAGAAAATCACGTGATTGTGTTTGACTGGAGGGTACCATGGTACTTCATACTTCTGATGAAACTTGCACTGTCGCAAAACTCTGTGACTAAAAGGACCCAAAAGCACACTTTCTCTTGCCGCATCTGGCCGCACTTAGACGAGGTGGTCCGTCTTCGATTGGGTACTTCTGCAACTAAAAGCTTCCCAAAGCAAGCAACTCAATAACTATTACGCAGCACAGCCAATCTGCAACCCCGCCCCCTCCTTCCTCCCTCGTGTTCTGGTTCTCCAAGTGCTCGCCTAATATAGCAGGAGGGTGTTTGGAGCATTTGGGCTTGGTACTTTTGAATGTACTCTCCAATGTCCTTTAGAATGCCCCGCACCTCGCTCGCCAGAGCAACTTCACGACTTGCCGTGTCGTTTCCTACCTTTCGATGTTCTAATAACTTCTCGACCTTATCACACATTTCCCGCGCTTCTGCTCCAAGATCTTCTCTTACCTCCCTCACCCAACACCGTCCTCAGCAGCAGCTATTCAACCCCAGGAACTGCAGAACTTACCTTACAGCTGATATTCGTGCACACCAAGCAAAGAAGATGGCCCCCCAACTAGACGGATTCTTCAAGCAGGTCGACGACTCGACGGACCACTTCATCGACCGGTTGCGTAGGGCAGTTGCTATCCCCTCCATTTCCGCCGACGAAGCCCGCCGACCCGATGTAGTTCGAATGGGCGAGTGGCTCGGCGACGAGCTCAAGGCCCTAGGTGCTCATGTCGAGCTCCGACCCCTCGGTGAGCAACCCGGTAAGCCCGGCCTTCAGCTGCCGCCGGTGGTTCTCGCGCGCTATGGCAACGATAAGAACAAGAGGACGATCCTGGTCTACGGTCACTACGACGTGCAGCCTGCCGAAAAGGCCGATGGCTGGGCGACGGAGCCGTTTGATCTCACCGTTGATGAGCAGGGCAGGATGTTCGGCCGTGGCAGCACGGATGACAAGGGTCCTGTTCTCGGCTGGCTAAATGCCATTGAGGCACACCAAAAGGCCGGCGTCGACTTCCCCGTGAACCTTCTCATGTGCTTTGAGGGTATGGAAGAGTATGGTTCCGAGGGCCTCGACGACCTCATCGAAGCTGAGGGCAAGAAGTTTTTCGCCGACGCCGACGCCGTATGTATTTCGGATAACTACTGGCTAGGAACCGAGAAGCCCTGCTTGACCTACGGATTGCGTGGTTGCAACTACTACTCGATCGAGGTCTCCGGCCCCGGTGCAGATTTGCACAGCGGAGTTTTCGGCGGTACCGCCCAGGAGCCTATGACCGATCTCGTCAGGCTCATGGGTTCTCTTGTTGACACTGACGGCAACATTCAAATTCCTGGAATTATGGAACAAGTGGCGCCTATCACAGCGGATGAGGAGGCTTTGTACGACAACATTTCCTTCACGATGGACAACATCTACGAGTCTCTCGGTAGCAAGACGACCATCTTTGATGATAAGAAGCAGACTCTCATGCGACGATGGCGTTTCCCTTCGCTCTCTCTTCACGGCATTGAGGGGGCCTTCGCGGCGCCCGGAGCGAAGACCGTTATCCCCGCCAAGGTCATTGGCAAGTTCTCTATTCGCTCGGTTCCCGACATGGAGATTGAGAAGACCAACGAGCTCGTCTGCAAGTTCGTCCAGGACGAGTTCGCCAAACTCAAGAGCAAGAACACGCTCAGCGTCTACCCTCAGCACTGCGGCAAGTGGTGGGTTGCGTCGCCTAAGCACTGGAACTTCAGCGCCGCCGCGAAGGCTGTTGAGCGGGTATGGGGTGTGCAGCCCGATTTTACTCGCGAGGGAGGAAGGTAAGTTCAAATATTGTCTTCATTTATCACCGGCCATAGGCATTCGCCCTTTCCGTTATGATACCCGACTGACATTATTTACCTTTTCTTCTAGCATTCCTGTAACCCTCACTTTCGAGCAGGCTACCGGAAAGAACGTTCTTCTTCTACCTATGGGCAGTTCGACTGATGGTGCTCACTCTATTAACGAGAAGCTGGATAAGAGGAACTACATTGAGGGTATTAAGCTCCTGGGTGCCTATCTTCACTATGTTGCGGAGGAGCCTCAGTCGTAGACATTTGCTCGTTCGCGTTGTGTATCATAATGTCTATATAGAGGAGGTAGAGACCACGGAGTATACCCAGCAGGATGAACAGAAGAGATTCCCCCACGGCGGATTTACCTGCCCTTCCACCTCATTTAAATGTCAGGAGCACATTACACTATGTGTGTGGAACGATTCAATTTGGTCTACGGATATGATACCGACACACCCCAGAATAATATGAAATACATTGATGTGCCCAGCTCTGATTAGAAGAATCCTTGGGTAAAGTAACCCGTCATGTCCGAAAAGAAAGCCACCTAATATGGCACTGACCCAATTATATGCTAGATGTGTGGAGCGGTCCGAACCATATAGGTCGAGGAAAGCTCAGCACACCGGGTATCATCCCCATTTAAGAACCCAATATATCCCGAGTAGAAATGCTCCCAACCGTCCTGCCAACGACCGGCAAGAAAAACTCCGAAACCTTAGGAAAGAGAGAGTAGAAAGGATGCAAAGGCTCGTCGTATTAAGCGTTAAGCCCGGTCATAAGTGACCTGACTTCTCCTCCGCTTCGCAACAACCTCCGGATCCCAAGTCCCAGCAAAAATCTCATCGCACTCATCTTCATCATCCGAGTCAAACTCAACATCCACATCCGACCCAACGCTCCCAGCCTTCCCGGTATGGAAGCCCTCGGCACCAGGAGAAACCGGCACGTCCTCCCAGCTGCGATACGTAACGACCCTCTCGGTCTCTAGAATGAACTTGCCGACCTTGTACCGCTGGCTGTGCTCCTTGGCATCGACGTATTTCCAGCCGAGCTTGGTCTGGCACACCTGGCACAGAATGTCGGCGACGGTATGCCATCCCGTGACGAGCTGGCGGCTTTCGCACCGCGCGACGCGGATGTTGATGAGGTCGGCCGTGGAGTACGACGTGGAGGCGGAAGGGTCGGTGGGCGGAGCCACGAGGTAGGCGCGACCGTGACGGCCTGTGAAGCCTTTACTTATGATTTGGGAGGTGAGGGCGAGGTCGGTTGCGCAGGTTGAGCAGCGGAGGGTGTCCGGGTGGGTTCGGGATAGGCGGAGTTTTGGGGGAGGGGCCGGGGCTGTTTCGGAGGAGGCGGGTTGCTTGGAAGGCGAGGAGAAGAGAGAGAAGTCGAGTGAGCGGCCCGGGCGGAGGGGGAATTTGAGGCTTGGGAGGAGGAAGGTTGGGAAAGTTGGGCGGGTGGCGGTCTTTTCTTTGCCCATGGTTGGTCTTCTTGAGGTCGCGACGAAGAGGGCGTCGCGAGGAAGTGAGCGCTATGTGAATATCAATCGGGGACGGGAGAGGTCGGCTTTCACCGGAAGAGTGGTACGATGCTATTCGGTCGAGGGCGGATCGCGCAGCGAAGAGTTAGATCTGGCCAGCCGAACAGTATAAAAGCAACAAAGGGGAACAGGTCACAACTGCAATCAAAAGAAACTTGAAAGATGAAAAAACAAGGTCGAAAGGGAAGAAGTGACAAAAAAAAAAAAAAAAGCGGCGTGACCCCTACTTTTGGGGGTGACCGGCACGGCTATGTAGATAATACAGTGGGAGGTCAGGCGCCCAATTCTAGGCTAGGCCCCTCCAACTTATCCTCCAGCTCCCTTTAATTCTCCAATCCGAGCAGGACGTGGCGGTAAAGCCCTCTAGTGCTGTTTTTAGATGCTTTGGCGCTTGTGATTCTTGCGACACTTTTTGTTGGCACGCTGGGTACGCCGACAAGACCCTGAACTAAAGACGATCGCCAGCAAATTTCAGGGACGAAAGGGAGATTTAGAGATTCGAGAACAGTAGGTTCAACGTTGGGAGAAGGCAGAGCCCCGCATCACATCACGGCGAGGGTCGCATCAAATTCCTTATCGATAATGCAAAGCGTCATGGGGTGGTGACTTGGGCTTGGAGGGGTCGACACAACCACTGCGGGGTAAGCGTAACAGTCGTGGTTTGAAGAGTACGAAGTACCTCAGTAGGTTGTCCCGGAATTGAGAAATAACATCTGGTTTCCAGCATGGACAGCAATTTGAAGCGCAGCAACGACACAGATTTGAAAGAGGGCGGAGTTTGAGCAAGCCGCTCTGTTGGATTGTTCGAGGTATTTACACATGATTGAGGAACGAGCGCTATTCTTCATCTCTCAATTTCGTCTTAGCCTCGAGAATTACTTCGCTCCTCGGAGCTGGCCATCATCGACGGAATATGTAGCCTGGCTAAGACGATCTTAATCACCCAATATTATCTATGCGGTGCTGCGAAACTTGATATTGCTTCAATGTTGATTCATGATGGAGGGGCAGTCGACAGCGCTTCAAGGGCCGTGAAACACGAGCGCTGCTCAAAAATGCAAGCCAGCCAATGTTTCACAGACTTACAGATCAACGGACGTTGAGGAGTATAAGTCGAGTTTGAGCCAGCTGTCATCGCCATGGACTAATTTCAAACGTCACACGAATTTTAATCATCGTATGCTATGACAGCTACTATGATGGAACACGATATGGATCCGGAACGCCAGACGAGGACCTTCACTAAGACTACATTCACCAAGGCTATGCAGCCCGTGGTTCTCACCAACATTCATGGCATCGACGTCAGCAAGAAATGGACATCCTAGCGTATCTACAATGAAGTAGCCGCCCTCAAACTCGTGCGGGAGAAAACCAACATCCCCGTGCCCAAGGTCCTAGAAACGGGCGAAAGCGCGCATGGGCCGTTCCTCACAGTGGAGCGCCTCGACGGCATCCGGCTCGACGATATCCACCTGTGGTGCTGTCAAGAGCCTGTGGACGGGCGTCTTCCCGACGGGCACCAGCTTAAGAAGTGCAGCGCCTGCCAGGAGATGGCGAACCAGAACGCCAGTACCTTCATCCGGGAGACACCGCTCCCGCAACTCAAAGCCCTTCGGTCCAACGTCTCTGGGCTTAATGGCACCGTCACCCCGCCGCCGTGGGTGACCGAGTACGATCGTCGGGAGACGTGGAAGTCCAAGACATCCAAGATCGACGACGCGTTTGGCTTCTGTCATGAGGACCTAGGCTCGCAGAACGTTCTAATGGACCCCGGCACCTTGCTGGTCTCCGGCGTGGTCGACCTGGAGAATGCTGGGTTTTACCCTGACGAATTTGCGGACCAATGGTCCCTGGACGTCTATTACGACTTGTATAGTGATGAGGACTCACTTAGCCAGCTTGTTTCTCTGCTCGAGTAGGGACTTGGAAGAAGTGAAGTTAAAGAATAGCTCTACGCAGCTGCAAGGCGCATTTGGTGCCAGTCTATCCGAGAAAATCTTGCGCACCGGTATTGAAAGCCTTCTGCGGCTTGTCCTTGATCTCAGTACTTCGGTTTCCGCACGGTGAATGTGCAGCTGTCTTAACGACCTCTAGCAGCGAGTGGCTCTTACGAAGTACAATTGGTTGCTCCCTGTACCTACCCGGGTCAGTAGAGTGTGAACCAGCAGTCTGAGACATCATGTGAATATTCGGAGACAATTCTGCTGTTTCGGTGTCCTGCATGTACAAGTAGTTTATAGCTAATGCACAGTAAGTTCCAGGTCGCCAGGCACTCGCTAGAAAGGGGAACAGCGCCCTAGTGGCGAATGCCGTTAACTTTCCAGAAGCAATGAGGAGTGATCTCTCTCAGGACACAGTGTGATCTAGATTCGAATCTTGACCAAGAGGGAAGCGGCGGTGAACCGTCATCGAAATGTCCTGACAGGGGACAGTGTAGTCCCAATGCAAGGAAAACGTGGCGCCCATGATCTGCTGAAATACAATTCCAAGTCATATTCGGTTCTGACCAGGACATCATAGTTTTCATATGGAGCTGGCTGTATTGCTCACGTTCAGCATCGGATTTTCTCGACAGTCTCTCATCCCTTAAACCCTTCCAAATGGTTCTGGGCTTGGCGAACGGACTGGAATGCCGATGAGCGATTCACATGACCCCCGATAAGATCCGTCGAATCTCTGGGTCCAGATCTTGGATTGGATTGGTCCATTTCTTCCCTGGCCAAGGAAAGCCGTGGGTATCTGATTGGGTCGAGCACAGGATTCAGTGTGTGGATGTCGACATTTTTTCCTTTCGCACTGACAACAGAAAGACAGTTGATTCTGCAGCGTGTTTGTGTTTCTTTTTTTTTTTTTTTTTTTTTTTTTTTTTTTTTCAATGATGAATCCGAACCCTAGAATGATGAAATCAAAGCTTTGCCGTGGCCTGCGTCTAATTGAAAAGGTCGTCAATGATGATATGCCGAAATAAGGGAAGCCCAACGGTCTCACGTCTAGACCACGGCCATTGATGCATTTATCCCACTCAACCGTCTGCGGGCGTCTGCTGTGTACCCAAATAGGCACGTCCACGCGAACGGATATTGAACGGAGCCGAGCCAAAAACCGGAACATTGGCTCTTGCAATGTCTCAGATGAGAAGAGCGAGAGCACTGCACTAGTGTGTCAGGATACAAGGGATCATTTCTGAATTTAGTGTTTACTGAGGTAATCTGGAGACGATTGATGGCGATTTGGTCTTTACAATCCACGAATGGTAACTCGCGCAAGAGCCGCATGGGGAGAATGTTCTGATAGATCTGGTACTTCGTAGTTTAGATAACGAAGAGCATTCTAGAGTTGACGTCAAGTGTGAGCGTGAGCACTTGGATCATCCAGTGGCAGGAATGCTGCCGAGCAACGTGTTGCGCCTAATCGGCCTCCCCCGCTTTTCTACCTTTCTCTGGCATTGTTGGTGCGTTTGCTGATGCCAAGCGAATCGGTGTGGTTTCTGGGTGGACTGGTTGTACCTTTCCGGTGGTCGTCGTTGATTCTGATGGCGGTCGGTGTCCGCCAGCGGAACCCAGCGGAGACTTGGAAAATACATGTACCTCATGTGTCACCTTTTCCCCTCTTATTAATCGAAATCCATCCATATATTCCTCTCTTCCCTCTCCTTCTCCTCCACAACCAACAATTCGCTGATATCAACCACACCGCTCTCGATTCTCGATAATTCTCGATCCTCACGAACCAAACTCCCAGCGAGTCCACGAAAAGAAAACAAAGTCCATCAAATCCAATTCAATCCAATTGATCACTCTACCGAACACCACAAAATTTGTCGAAAACCAAAAGAAACAGACAACTGACTTCATCCCGCTCACCGAATCTTCAACCCCACACCTATTTCTAGAACCATTTCAAAAACGAGAAGATACGGAAAATCAGCAACAATGTCGCCAATGAAACAGAGTAATAATTATGACAGTAGTAATTATGGCGAGAGCGTCATCCCCAACGTTCTCGCCACTTGCTACATTGTTGACGCCATGGGGTCCCTGAAGGGACTCCACTACTGCTCTACCGGGGCCAACGGTACGTTCGCCATCATCATCCCCGAGCCCGCATTTCCCAATTCGCTTCCCGGTTTTAATCGTTCACTGTGCTAATCATTTTCATCACATCTCTAGGGGCAGAGTGGTATTCCTGAGGTCCCTATCTCAGGACTACCTTCACCTCCCTCAAGTCCCCCCCTCGTCGCCATAACCTCGTCTAACGAGCTTGCCATCCTGCCCAAGGACAGGAGCAAGGCCCGCGACATCCCCGGAAGGCGGATGCGCAGCAGACGAGGGGGGGCAACCCATCTGATCAGGGAAGAATGTGTGAGATTCTTCTGCGAGACTATGAGGGCCGTGTTCTGCGGTGAGAGGAACTCGGTCGATAATGGCTCCGGCTTGATGGATGTGGATTCTTTGGCCACCCCGCCCGATAACAGGTTCAGCCTGCTGCACGATGACCGTGCACGCCGGCCTACCGCCTTCTCGGGCGGCGGTGCCGTTTCCATCTCGGCTTGGGCCGAGGTGTACGATTACGTTGGCGGCACGAGCTATCGTGCTTTCGTCGCCGACCACAACAACGAGAAGACGCTTTTCGCGTTCCTGGATAGCAGTCTTGTCGACATGGAATTGAAGCAAGGGTACGTTGTCATCCCCATTTCCATCCATACTAATCTATGTAACAGTGTAACTAACAACTTGATGCAATTTAGTCTTATGGCCCTCATCGAACTCGCCGAATCAGCTCTCGGCTGCGAGCGCATCGTCATCTGCATCGATCGTGACATCTCCCGTAGCCAAGCTCAGGGCCTCCTCAAGAGCTTCCGTTGGGTTGGATTCGACCTCGTAACTCTTGACTTCCTCGCCAACGACCTTGACGTGACAAGCGAGAAATGGCTTTTCATGGGCATGGAGGTCTAGAGAAAAAGGAAAAAAGGATGGGTAAAATTACAGGACTTGGGGAAACCTTGGGCCGGGATTACTGAACAACTTACATTTGCCACGCTTCGTTATAAACCTGGGGTTGTACTGGTGCTCTGCATTGCTGGTTTTCTCTTTTGCTTTTTCTTCTGTTTCGTTTCATGACTGGGAACAGTCTCTTGGTCTTGGAGAGGCCAAGTCCGAGGCGCTTGGGATAGGATTCCTTTCGATTCGATGATATTAGGGTTGATTCTTTTTCTGCTTCGCATCCTTCTCTTTCCGTTTTCCGTTTCAGCATGACCTTCTCGACAGGAGAATGGGCATGCTCATCCTATGATGTTCTTTACCATAACTTCTATCTTTTTACGGACAATGAATGGCATGGAAAATAGGAGATAATACCACAATGTTTTTTTTGAATAAAAATTCTACAAGCTGCTAAAAATTGAAACATGAAGAATATCAAGTAAGACAGGCCGGAGAATCCCCACGATAAGGTGCTTTTACACTTCTCATGCCCATTTTCATGTCTAACCTCCCCAAACGGTACGCTACTGGGCTCCCAATCTCCTTACAACTCGCTCTCGAACTTCCTCACCACAAGACCCTTCTCGCCGAGGAAATCCTTGACCTGCTTAACGGTGTACTCTCCCCTGTGAAACATACCAGCCCCCAGCGCCGCATCAGTCTTCGTCTTCTCGAACACCTCGGCAAAGTGCCCCGGGTTCCCCGCGCCGCTCGACGCAATGACAGGGATCTTGATAGCAGCCTTGACCTGGTTAATGAGCTCGAGGTCATAGCCGGAGTTTGTGCCGTCCTTATCTATGCAGTTGAGGAGGATCTCGCCAGCTCCCATGGCCTCAACGGCCTGAACGAGCTCGACGACATCAACGTCGCGGGTCTCGCGGCCTCCCTTGATGGTGCAAGCGTACCAGCAGTACTTCTCGCCGTTTGGGCCCGGGAACGCCGTCTCGACGAGGTTGTGGCGCGTGGCGTCGGGCTTAGGCACGTAGACGCGCTTGGGATCCACGCTGACCACGACGGCCTGGTTCCCGTAAGCGCGGGAAATCTGCTCGATGGCCGTGTTGCCGAAGAGTTTCTTGCCGACGGCGTAGTACTCCTCGGCGGCGAGCACGGCGTCGGAGCCGATGGATACCTTGTCGGCGCCGCTCTTAAAGTACATGGTGGCGATCTCGAGCGCCGAGACCTTGGTGCCGTCCGTGTCTACGGCGTCGCGGATACCGCCTCCGATAGTGAGGGGCACGAAGACGGTTTCGGAGGTACGTCGTAGAATCTCGAGCATAGGTAGGTCGGCAAGGGGGATATCGCGGAAACTGGTGATGTTTAAGAAGGTGACCTCGTCGGCACCTTGTTCGTAGTACTTCTTCGCGAGCTCTACCGGCTTGCCGAGATTCCGCACGTTTCGGTCATCGCCTTTCTCCCTGACGTCGTACTGGTCACCTTTCGTCACCACGAGGTCGCCTTGGTCGTTGGTTCGGACGTCTAGACAGGCTATTATACGGCGGGTAAGTCCATCTTGGAATTTGGGGCTAAGACCGTCTTTGTTGAGGGTGAGCTCCTTGGCTCCTGTGCCAGTGAGGAAGGCCTTTATAGTTCGGAGACCCGCGATTCCGCTCTTCTCCGGGTGGAACTGGGTTGCGAAGATGTTTCCCTTGGCAACCGCACCGACGAACGCCTCCGATCCGTACGTTCCCAACGCAACAGTCCAACCTTGGGCCTCCAGTTCTCCCCTTACGTACGGCGACATGTAAGAGTGGACATAGTAGTACTTTGAGTCCGGTCGGAGGCCGTACATGATCTGGCCATCGGTGTTGGCGGAGTTCCAGCCAATATGAGGTACCGTCTTGACGGAGTCATCAAAGCGACTGAGCTGCGACTTGATGATGCCGAGACCGGCGACGTCTGGGTCTTCCGCGGACCCCTCGAAAAGCGCTTGTAGACCGACGCAGATGCCCATGAAGGGCTTTCCGGCCTCAATATGCTTCTTTACGGGCTCGAGGTAGCCCGCGCCGCCGAGCTGTGTCAGGCAGTGACCGAAATGGCCCACGCCGGGGAGGATGAGTTTCTAAGATGCTAGTTGGCTCGGGATTTTTCCTTTTTCTTGCATGTGAGGAGGGGGACACACCTCAGCATTAGCGACATTTTCGGGAGACTTGATCCATTCGACGGAGTACCCTAGTGCCTCAATGGCATTGACGAGACTCCGTATGTTCCCGGCGACGTAATCGAGGAGGTGGACGGTGGGCATCTTTGCCCGGTTGTCGGAGTGGAATGCACAGGATGGAGGGGGGTTCGAAAGGGATTTGGTCGAGGTTGGAAGCCGCAACAAATTATGCGAATCGAGTCTTTCCAACGGGAGAAAAAGACGGTATTCGTTCGGCTTATATTATTTAGTACTTAGGAGAACGGGAGAACTCGATTGATCTGTGTGAAGTCTTGTACCTCCTATGACTCTTAAATTCGATGTCGTACGGGGGAGTCAAATAATATTTTGGACTGCGGGGCATTCGATTCGCATCTGAACTGGGAGGGACGATAATGCCCCGCGTTGTCCAGGGCCCTTTTTTGTCCTGTGCCTGCCTGTGCTGTGATCCAAGACCCTGGTTGGAGCAAGGTCTAATTTATTGTACCAGTACATATTATCAAAGCGTTATTTATTCAGTAAATTATGTATCTATACAAAAATAACTTTTGGGGGAATCTTATTTTATCCCATCGCAAAGCTTCCAAGATCTCATCCTCAATTTGGCACAGCATCATCAACTTCGTCTGGTTTGCCACCAAGCGCGACGGACTGCACCCAGCGAACCGCCACCTCCAATGCCACGGCCTCATCATCATTCAGATACCTCTTATCGCCTCCCGCCTTAGAAAATGGAAACCACTGGAAATGAGCAGCCTTTCAAGGAGCATCGGGTACCGCCCATGACTGCGACATCAAATCTCCCAAGCGCGAACGCGAAAATTCCAGCACTGGAGCCGGACGATGAATCAGAATGGGAGTACGAATACTCAACGACAGAGACTGAGGTGTGTATATCCCCCTTGCACCTACGCGATCCAGTTGGACATTTGACGGAACTAACCCCCTGGTGTCTTTCAGACCTACTATCTCACGGTCGATCTCTCACTTCCTGAATTCGTCTACAGAAACCCAAGTGGCATCATGCACTTCGGTAGGGGAGGATACTATGCCGACTGGATCAAGGACCCCGAGTCGGAACATAAGCGATCGATCGCCCACCGCGTAGTTCCCCCTGGAGGCACTCTCGATGACGAGGACGATGAAGACGACGACGACGACGAACCACTCCCGGAACCTGAAGACGACCTCGACGAAGTAGATCCAGAGTTGGATGGCTACATGGGTCAACGACCACAGGATGGCGATACGGAAGTCGCCGATGACCAACTCGTAGAAAGAGATATCGAGATATTGGATTTACACACAGAACACCCCATAATATCCTATAGGGGGAAGGTTTTCGAAGGGAGCTGGGCAGAGGTACTAGGAACTGAGCTTATATTTGCCGGACGCGACGAAGCAGCGCCGCTTCCCGCGTTGCGCCGACTACCGGGCGATGTCGACCTACTAGCGGCGAGTTCGGCACGAATCCTCACGACGGAGAAAGTCCTCAAGATACCCGACGAACTAGACAGGTTGAAGAAGACGCGCGAGGCCTACGGGATACGGCTCCCTGTTCTCGGAAAGCACCACTACGATGAGAAGAAGAAGCAGGTTCGGTTCTTGGAGAACCTCATGGCTCTCAAGATCAAGAAGGGTGAGAGGGATCTAGTGACGGTCACGGCTCGCCCTGCGCCAGACAAACTGTTCATCGACGACCGAGATCCAGATTGGATGCCGAGGAGGCCGAGGACAAGGATCTTGCCTAGGGAACTTACCATGCCCGTGGGCGAGACACCGAGAAAGGACGGTCAACGGAAGCCTTTGCCTTTCAGTCGGCCGTCGGTGGGTGCCCCTCAGGCTGGTCCACTTGGAGGGGTTCCAGCTACGTTGAGAGAAACTGGCGGGTCAGTGCCAACGCCTGATAGTTGGGCGGATATCTTGCCGGAGGCAGACGAGTCGGGTGAGGGTGAGGATGAGGAAGAGTACGATGAGGATGAGATGGAGTATGATGAGGATGGTGACGGCGACGTACGCATGGGATAGGTCTCCTCTCCTAGTGTTCTTGAGGAGGTAGCTCTGTTCAAGCAAGCGGCATCTGTGACCTTTCTCTTTTGGCTTGGTGACGGATACTCTGTCCGGCGATACCCATTCAGTTGTAAGACTGATAGCGTTGTTTTTCCGTATTAGACACTGATAGCCTCTAGTTTGAATCAGTCATGAGGACCTATGAGCCAGTACGGCCTTTTCCTCATCCATCTAAAATGCACTAAATACTCTGATGTTAAGAATAGATTTAAACTTCTTCCCAAGCCAGACAGAGCTATGTTGGAGACGTGCGTCTCAGGAGAGACCCCATTGGATCTGAACCTGTCAGACAGTATTCCCGTAGCTACGCACAACGACAAGATAACTACAATGTGTTTATATCCAATACATGTAGCAGTTAGACCCACGTTGAAGGGGAAAAGTGTGTCAGCGCAGGCGCACGCTGCCTCACTGCTTGTGGCATTAGAACGTCTCAAAAGAGGGTTGCAGAAAGATCCCCTCCGATCGATCGCTCGCTTGTTACCCCATGGTTTTAACGACGACTTGGCCGCGGCTACAGACGAACAATATTGTGCCGTTCCCACCATTCCCATTGTTAGACGAAAAGGGACTCGCATGAATTCATGCGAGGTGCTGGCGTCCGGGGATCGGAAACCCAATAGATGCGGCAGCAGGCCCAGATGATAGGATGGCGGCCCTTTACAGAGGGCAGCAGGGGACGGGCGGTGAAGTGACAGTGCGGGCTTAAGAAAGGTCGACGTGGGCGATCACTACGATGTTGATTCATTTAATATATATGTAGTATTTCTCGTGCACGTCAAAGGCTGCACGGCTGGCTTTGATGGTGGGACACTGGACGGCACGCCCCGACGCCAGGCTAAAACCTGCGTTAAAGAAGACCCTTCATACATGCCATGTGGGATGATCGGTTGGTCAGGACCAGTGGTAGGATCTGGTAGGACCTGGGCACATGAACCCTTCTTTTGGGCCTGTGATCTGTGAGAATTTTCTAGTGCAATGTATCAGCCAGGCGCCTCGTCGCGATGGAGCATGCAAGTTTAGTTTGGGTCTGGGTTCTAAAATCTAAAAATGATGGAGCGGAAAGAGCTCTATTAACTCGTCGTTGATGGAGTTGTCGTCTTCGTCGATTTCGGGGAGGGACGGCAACTGTGTACAAGTACTTGTAAACTACGAATTCCGAACTCCCGACGATTGCGAGGATTGCGCAGGGGCTGGACGACTCGGGGAGGATGGCAGAGAAAGATTGACAGGCGGAAAGAGGTGGGGAGATCCGCTGTAACGCAGATGGGCGAATGACGCGGGGATCTTTGCAAGGGGAAAATCGCAACGTACAGTGTAAGAATTACTGGCTTCGGTACATTGGTTTTTCGTATTCGCCTTGTCAGCCAAGGGCCTGGGGCAGAGAGCACTTCGCAGTGAGCGGTATTTTGGGGGGGCAAAACGGGCGGGAAACAGTCCCGAGCCATGATTGGCTGACTTGGAAGGAGGGGTAGCTGATACAGTAAATGTCGCACGAGAGCAGGGGTGATGAGAGGTCACGTCTACCTCGGTAGTTGGTGCATGCGTGCGTTTTAGGCACCCGAATTCCAGGTCTTGGGCTGGTTTTCGCTTCTGCTTTCGACCCTCAAAAAGCGGGTTCGACCAGCGAGATTTACACTGCACTATTGCTTCATACTTTGTTGACTAGTTATATCCGTTCTGAATTGAGGATCGGCGTCAAGGGCCAGTGTTATTATGGAGTCAGTTTGGTGCGCAGCAAAGGAAGTGGCTGACAGCGGTATGAAGGGTATGAAGTATCTGATTATTCGTAATCCATGATTGATATTGATGGACCCAACCTCGATCCTCCCGCCGTGTGAAAGACGTGAAAGACCCCCCCCAAAGTCCGGATCGTCCGCAGCTGCCCTCTTTGTGTAAGTCAGACCCCCCGACGAGATCTCTTGGCAAACCGACCCTTCCGCCTCTTTTATCCATTGCCAGCATTGCCAGGACTAAGCGCAGCAATGGCCCATTAAGACGAATACAAAATCGCCCCATCATCTACCATCGTCCTGCCATCGTCTACCAGCAATCGCGCATCTTTTTCCCTCACCGACTTATTCTCCGCTCCAGGCTCCAGCCAACCTGGGAAAGCCTCCACATCTCCACAGAGATCTGCCCTTGTCCACCCTGGTTCCTTTCCTCTTCTCCACCTGCGGCTCTTGATACACTTACGGAACTACGGCTCCCGCATCTGCTTATTCTTTGCCATCAATTCCCAACACAATTCCACTCACCACTCACCACTCACCACTCACAATCTGGTTCCTGTTCCTGTTCCTGTTCCTGTCCCTGTCAGGGTAGTACATATATCTCTGACCTCGCGGCGGGCAAACGTCTAGCCCATTCATCGCATCCTTTCGGCCTACCATCCACCATTATTCCTCTATACTCTTGTACTCTCTCGTGCCTGCCTACGCCGCCACGTCGCTTCACAGTGCGTGTGTCACCTGCAGGTCTGACCTGGACTTGTAGAAACAGACATTAACGCACCTCCGGGCGCCCAGCGACTACACCACGAGTCCAGAAACCACCCACCCACTCCTCGACTACTCTACTACTTGTACATACTTTCATCCTCCTACAAAGTGTGTCTGTCATTGATCACCATCATCCACTCACCTCACAAGACCGACCTCGGCCTCAAACTTCCGGGACTAAAACTAGCCGCATCCACTCCGAACCCGACCTCTTCAGTCCTTCGCCGCCCTATCCGTTGTACACCCAGATAGTCTCGTTTTTTTTCCACATTAAACTTTGACGGCCTTGTCTTCTAGACGACCTTAAAAAGAAAATAGCTCGGCCATCTCCAGCTCTTTGCCTTTTTGCGACAGCGCCTCGTTTATTTTTATATCCGACATCAAAGAAGCCGCCCTATCCGGGCTTACCCTCTCTCTCCCTTTCCCACGCATTATTCATCCCAATCCATTCATTCCATTCCTCGACCTATTCGTCCCATGGAGTAAATACAAGGTCTTTTGCTAAACAACAACCTCATCCTCTCCAATCCCTTCCCAACCCACGCTCTTAGACCGTACTCTCCGCCACGGCCCACGAGGCCGACACCGCCCGAAAAAAATGATTCGGCTACGTCCTGTAACTCTCTTTATTATCCTATTAACCTTCCTGTCATTTTGCGCGTGGTATGCACCGAAAGCCTTAAATCCGGTACCTCCCTCCAAAGAGAAACGTCGAGAGGACAGGGCTTGGGTATCATCGTCGCCCTACTGGCTCGATCGCCAAACATGCCGATGGATGGGGCTCTGCGGTCTGCACCATCTAAGGAAGGATCCGCCCACGAGACACTCGTACATCCGGCCTCATCCAGATGACGACGAAACTGCTGGAAGGAGACTAGAGCTGAGGTCGATGCCGGTACTCAGCGACGAAGCCCGCGAAGCCGCCTGGGAATCCGTGCCCACATCCCAGGTTTCTGGTCAAATAAGGCTGACGGGCGGCGCCGGAGGGACAAAGACATCACAACAAGAGGCGACGACGAAGCCTCTGCAATCCATTCCAAAGTTCGTGCTTGACCATGCACCTCTTGTTCACCTCTGCTCCCAAGAGAACTTCTGGCCCGCCGATATTGCCGAGCACATTCAGCATGTCACCCCCCACCTCGAGCATTTGGCCGATGACGATCCTGATCGCTTGAATTTGACTGAGCCACTATCGCTTCATAATCTGCACGACGTGTTGAATAATTACTCCGCTTCGGTTTACCTCGTCAGCAACAATGATGTGGAGCATCGACCCGAGTGGCTTCATAGCGATGTCGGCATCCCCGAGCCTTCGGACGACGGCGACTTCGACGATGGTAAGGACGACTATTATGAGGTTCCAAGGCCGGACGATGAGGGCTGGCCAAGCGATAACCCGAGGTTAACACCGCCTACATCATGGTTCGACGTTGACCACGATCACCCCCTCGGCCGCATCTCCGACCCTCGAAGGACTCCAACCGATAGGAAATCAGGGAGTAGATTCGGCCCTAGAAAGAGACACCAGGAGCCGCCTAGAACCCGACACCACAAGCCTGACGAGAGCGGCTATTCTAAAGCACCGGCTGTGCTCATCCTCGTGGACAAGGGCTCTGGTATTCTTGATGCCTTCTGGTTCTTCTTCTACAGCTATAACCTCGGTCAAACTGTCTTGGGCATACGCTTCGGCAATCATGTTGGCGACTGGGAACATGCCATGGTGCGTTTCGAGAACGGCATTCCCCGAGGCATCTTCTTCTCCGAGCACGAGGGTGGACAAGCCTATGCCTGGTCGGCCGTTGAGAAGATTGGTCACAGACCAGTAATCTACTCCGCCGTCGGCAGCCACGCCATGTACCCATTGCCAGGCGTTCAGGCCTACATTCTGCCTTTCAAACTTCTCAAGGATGTCACCGACCGTGGTCCGATCTGGGACCCCGCCAAGAACATATACGCCTACCACTACGACTATAGACTCGACGATCCGGAGGACCCCGAGGCTCAGGCGCAGAGTCTGGTGCCCGCCGAGGAGAACCCCAATGCACCGACAAGCTGGTTCCACTACGAAGGCGCCTGGGGCGACAAGCTGTACAGCCTTGCCGATATTCGGCAGTGGCGCCTGTTTGGCCAGTACCACTATGTCACTGGCCCTCTGGGACCCAAGTTCAAGGCTCTGGATCGCCAGAAGATGTGCACGACTGAGAATTGTAGGATACTGAACTCTATCGTACCTGGCACGACCTGGTACTGAGGTAGAGAGGCTCGACAAGTTATGCCTCTTGTCCTCTCTTTTTTTTTCCCCTCTTTTTTTCTCCTGTCTCTTGTTTCAATGATTTGCGAGAGATATATAGACGGACCGGAGTGTTAAATGTATTTTTGCATCGGAGCGAGGGGGAGGACATACCCATACCAGCGGTCAGCAATGAGAGGGTGGAAAAGACTTACATCGATGTTCCT